CAGATTCATACTAACGAGTAAAGGACAATTCAAGGTCTATATTATATTTAAATTATTTTCTATAAGCCATCAAGGTTAATCCATAAACAACATATTTACAAGCTAGAGAAATGTCATGCTTTCATGCTGATGCCCGTTTCTAGTTTCAGCTTACCTGAAAAACTGAATTTTTTAACTGGATTTCTATAAGAAAATAATTTGATCTATTGATATACGTGTAATCAACTGCCAATCTACTAATTAACCTAAAAACCAGTCGTACTTACAACTAATGATCAAAAACAATTATCAGTAATTTAAAATGTACTTCAAATACTCGCATTTAAGTAGTGACGATTATCACCGAAGAACGTAATCATCAAATAGTTAAAAATTTATAATACAACAGAAATTTCTTACAGTCTTTGGTTTTAAAGGTCTAGACAATTACGCTGTTACCCACTTAGCAAGTCGAGCACCGATTCAGTAGTTGAGACTTTCAATGCTCAACCGCTAGGTTACAAGTTCAAGTCCTGCTCAACCTATTTCGGCTTGGGCGACAGGTTAATTAATACCTCTAGCCCTTACATGTAAAGTGTTTCTCAAATCCAGGTATACAAATTTGTACTTGGTAAACGAGTTACATTACTTATCACGTGGAGGTTTTTGTGCTCACCTTCTAGTTAGTGTTTGTGTGAGGTTGAAGATGCTGATTGGTTGACCCAATCAAAGCAGGTGGAGCGTAGTTTGAACGGGAAACTTAATGATTAAAGGTTAGTTGGCATAAACACTAAGAAATTATTCCTCCGGACGGTTTTTAAAAACGATTTATTTTTAGTTTGAGAGGCATGAGATTTCGAATAAGCAATCCTGCATAATTGTCTTTTCCGACATAATATGGTTGAAATACGGTAACTGAAATATCATGCTAGAATTGACTTTGGTTTAGATGTCATGTTCGACACGCCAAATGATTACATTACACAAAACAAAAATAAATAAACTGTGAAACTCAACAATCAATTAATCAGTTATATCAAATATTGAAAATGGCACATAAGTGCATCAGTTGAAATTGGCAAACCACATTAGTGTGGCTGAAATGCCAGAGTAGTAGTAAAGTTAGTCAGAGTATTAATAAGCCAATTGTAAATCAATCCATTACAATTAAATTACAAATAGTATTTGAAGCGATTAAAATACTAAAAAATTGTAAAGGTCAAACCATTAGATTGTAATTTTTAGTTCAGAAATGGATAATTTATGAAAATAACTGTAAACTATACATTTTGATGTACATATCTCGTAATTCACTACATATGAAATGGACTCATATCATATTGCACGATAAGGAGCATTGTATTTACGTGAGTATTATAATAATATTAAATAGCTATTGATAAATTATATTTTAGGATTTTCTACCTAATAAAAAATCTAAGTAAGAACTGGTGAAATCATTTTATATGTATATACCTATGAGTGTATAAACAAAAGATGATATTGTAAACTAGGGAATGACTAGAAACGGTTCGTAATGATTATTATTGATTATCAAAGAATTTGGTATACTGTGTTGATTGAAGCTCATGTCCAAATGTTTCATATCTTCAATGGGAATTTTGAATAATATTAAACTACAATGAGTCTGATAAACAATTATTATTTTTTGACGCAAAAAAAACGAATCGAAGTACAATTATACAATACCTATGTGAAAATGTATAATTAGTAGTTCTAAAATAATCAACCATAATAAAGCAATTCTACATTTCTTATTAATTAGTGGTAAATCAGTATAAATATTTTAAACCCAAAAAAGAAATTACTCATTACTCGAATAGCTTAGAGTGGGCATTCTAACGATTACCACTAATGATCTGATATATAATGGTCAAATATTGATTATTTAAAGAGAAATATACGAATGAGTCTTACGTATGTTTATATGGTTCATTTTTTAAACCTGATCACTTAATGTTTATAACAGTCAACTACTTCCGACCACATTCATTACAGTTTTAAATTTTAAAGTTCCTGACAAGACTTAGAAATCAACAATTACAAACACTATGAACTGCTATCACATCACATACACTGAGCAATTTTAGATCTGTGACTTAAATACCATAGGAAGAGAATAAACCCTGGAGAAGTATCCAAAAACAATATAAATCCCTGACCTAAGATCAAATATGAGTTCCGATATAGTGAATAAATATTTCTTAAAAATTTACTTGAATAGTCTCTTAGACAAAGTTTTCTAAGTTATACTTGAACATGACTCCTCTAAACGAATAAATAACCAATAAAGATCACATAGTATTACCAGTTTAGTAACAGTACTGGTCCCCTTTATTATTGATGTTGTGATTTATACAACAATAAGAAAATCAACTCAACATGATTCGAAAACTTTTAAAACAAAGAAAGTATAACTTATAGAATGCGTTTATAGTTAAAATATTTGAATGTCTTAGTCAATATTTCATTATCGTTTATTGTAACTGATCAAAACAGGTCATTGTCGAAATTTTCTTGAACCATAGATAACCATAGCTTGTTGATTGATAAGATTTCATTCATTCGAGTTCTATTTTTTTATGTAGTTAAATCAAACAAAATACCATGTGAATTCTTTTCAATTGATTATGGTTCCAAATCGACCAATTAAAATTTAACATAAAATTGATGGAGAAAAACAATTGTATAGCACATGAGGTTAAATCATTTCAAGAATGCAGTATGATTAATCTTGTTACTTGAATGTAATCTCACACGTATCTATACTTTAAACTTGGATAGCTTCAACGCATTCATCAGTCATCAACAAAACATATCAGCCTAATAAGAAATTAATATGATGCAAAGTATAAAACAGAACATATTAGGAACAAAAGAAACCAAAACATGAAAATTATAGTTCAAGATGAAACTATACAACTGAAGAGAGAAAAAATCGATATGACAATTAATTCATTGTTAAGATGTTAAGCATTTACGTCACTATGACCGACCTTGCACTATGTCGTTCAACGCCTTAAACCTACGATTATGGTTATTACAAAAGTAGCAATTAGGAAATTTGTGCATATTGACATAACTCGAAAAAGCAGTGTACGGCTTACACATCTTGATTTTATCAACCTCAGTTAATCTTCAGCCAACACTGCACCTCGAGGTGGATAGTAATTATGTATGCATAACAAATGTCTTCACCAATAAAATCTATGAATGTATTTAACGCTTAATACTTCGTTACAGAAAATAAATAAGCAATTGAATATGTGTAACTGTATCTATTTATGCTAATACAGTTTACAAAGTAAAATATATTCGAAAATAAGTTTCACATTACTCGACAACTCAACTTAATATTTTGTTTGTAACTAACACCATAAATGTAATATCAGTCAAGCATAATGAATTGAATAATTTGTTTTAGTCAAGTTTGAAATGTTTCGGAAGTACACACTACCAATGTATTCCCAGCTGTTTACGATCAATTGTTTATGATGTAAAAAATTACAGTAAAATGATATCTATATAAAAACTATTTAACGTGATGAACAAATGTTATTCTAAATTTTACTTAGTTAAAGAATAATAATAATTTGTTTAGTCTAAATAATAAATAAGACAATCAAACACTACCAATAACGTCATCACGCTGAAACACAATGAGAATGATGTACACTTCACGTGATAAATGATGTCAACAAGTCATACTAGTTAATGTAGGAAATAAAATATGCATTCTGATGATGTCTAGGAATTTAGGAACTAAATTCATTTCAAAACATTACCAGCTATTTAAACTATAATTAAAAGTTACTATTGTTAAGTTATTAGAGTTGTTCAAGTTTAAAATATCTATTTGATTCATATTATTTTTTGGAGAATGCTAGTTTGTAATGGTGAGTTGATCATTCATTCAAACTTCTTTAACATCACTATTTTGTCCGAGATATATTTAAGATATTTATTTTTACCTCATGTGAAATTTTAAATTAGAAAGACAACCATATACTTTTAAGTTGTATATGTATTCCCGTCACCTGAACAGATTTGATTTCATCAACACTTGTACGCTTTACATACTGTTGATATACCATACTGACAAACTACTTATAAGGAACTACAAACGTATGTGGTAGTGTTTGAAAAATAAAAAGCGTGATTTATTGAAATTTTAATGTGTAAGTTAGGAATGAAAAGAATTTGCAATTTTCGAAAATTTTATTGATTACAGTCAAATAACCACAATATTAAAACAAGTAATCTAATCTCATGTTCTTCTTTAGGGAAATAATTCCAAACAAAATTACCAAAAGCCAGAAATAATCCTGTACTTAATAATTCTATATAAATTCAAATATTGACTTCATTAGCTGAATATTTTACAAATACAATTTCCTTTCTCCTCTCCATACACATTTAACCCTCGAAATTAAGCAAAATCCCTTTCAAATGATTGTCGCTTATTGACAGTTTAATATGAAAAGTCGATTTAATTATGAGAAAAAAAACAGGTAAATAATCAATAAACCTTCCAATTAGAGTGGCAGATTGGTGATTAAACTACTTAATCTTCTACTGGGCCACATCTTTATACCCTGAACAAAACCTACATTAGTTTATGAATCCAGGTTGTATCAATAACCCTAGCACAAAGGGAAACTAAAATTCAAGTATATAAATCACGTACTCGGTTACACTTATAGTAAATTTTCCGATTACGGTTACAACACAACAGGCGGATTAGTGTGATCAAAGTTACTTTTCAAACCTATTACTCATATGACGAATATATGTATTAGCTTTGCAATTAAACAGAATTAGAACTAGGGGTTCAGAGCAAGTTCTACAGCATATGACGTCAGAGCAAGTGAAGATAACAAATCCACTATAAATGTCAACACTGAAAAAGATTAACTTTAAAAAAAAAATGCAAAACTAAAATACATTCATTTAAAATTGATCTTAATGAATAGTTTTTTTAATAACACACTAAAACATACCTTTGAGCCACTATCCAACCTTAATAGCACTGAATTACGTCTTCCATTTGAACGTGTATTCATTTTTATTTCGTATATTTTATACCGTAACTCAATTTGCTTATAATAAAATAAATATTCCTGTCATTGTATATTGATCATTAAAAGTATCTACAAATTAATTGAATTCATGATGGACATTATTTGTATGGATTGATTTGCGGAAAAATAGAAACTTGGGAAATTTCAAAATATATCTCAATTGCTTTTACTATTTTCTGTTAGAATTTCATGGCAAAAAATCAATAATCTTTGCTATAAGTACATCTGAGCATACATTTAGGAAAACAGCAATCAGAATACTCGGACTAGAGTACATATCTACTTAAACGAGCGACCGGATTGGGGAAAATTAGCAATGAAGTCTAAGATCAAGGCAAAAGTCTGACCTTGAAATTTCATCCAATCTTAGATCAAAAACAAGTTCTAAATACCGATTGGGTAATTTTATGATCAACAATTTTGAATTGAATAACATTTATCATTTGCGTGGGAGTTAGTTAGCCTTCAATTAAACACAATAGATTATAAGAGATTTAGGTATCATTTTAGTATCTTTGCCAAATATTTTCTCCCTCTACTGCTACCGGTAAACTTATGGAAAGGTAAAGAACGCTTCAACTTCGCATAATTACAATAAAATTCATAGGAAAATATATATGCTGCTTCACATCATGTTTTGATTATTTTATATTCACCAATAAAATATATTGCTTGATACCGTAGTATTTCCCTCCATATATATATTAAAGAATTTTAAGTAAATAGAAAATTAAATACTGTCCAAAATTTAGTCATTTAAAAGACATGTTAATACCTGATAATGATTATTGATTTATTGCTGGTGTCAAAATTAATAAACAGTAAACTCGTATTAGCGTAAGAAGGTTACTGAGATTGTTCCATGCAGTCGATTAGTTACTGAGTCGCGACCAATGTCACGTTTGTCAAGCCCTTCATTGACGATCGAATTCTACCGATGGAGATGCAATGTGGTCACTATCTTAACTGACTTCAAATTGTATACACTAAAAGTCGAAATATTAGATGGTTATCGGTATTTGGTAGGAAACCCTGTTCTATGTAGGTTTCGTGATAGTGGTGACCCATCAGTTAACAAGACTTCCCTGGAATCTTGAGGGAACTAACTCTCCCTATATGATTTGTCCTGGCAATACCCAGCTTGAAACTTTGATGGACTAGATCTAGGTTAACAATCACTGAGAATGATTAATAGTTTCATTGTGGTGTGGAACTTCCAAGCCTATCATGGATCGAGTTCAGGGACTGCAAACATTTCGCTACATATAACATACAATACGACGTAACTAGTATTATGTGGATAGGTTTACTTAATGTTGTGTTCTTATAGGAATTAATAACACATACGAACTATTAATAGTCATTCCGTTAGGTGGATTAATTTCTTTAAACGATGACCTTAAATATTTCAACTTCTATGTAGCCTCACTTGATAGTTTTAAACTTGGGATCTTGGAGATGAAAGGGGAATAGGCGAGAAACATATATCTCTGAGAACTAAAGACAAATATCAAGACAATCAGTAGACCTTGGTAGCAGCTGGGAAAATGAACACAACAGAATCGATTAGATTCCTAATTAGTGCTTTGTGCTATAAAAGGGGTTCTAGGCTGAAGCAAACTAGTAGCTTCTATCATGGTTGAATGTAAAGGACAAGATATCTTGTACAGAGATATTGATATTTCATGTGAGGATTGTCAAATATCAGCAAAGGTTGTACTACTTCGTATTCAATAATTATGTCATTTAGTTAAACTAATGATCTTCTAGTTGAATTTTTCATCTATTTTTGGAAAAGTAGTTTTTTGAAAGAGAGCTATTATCTTCATCACTGTCATTCTCAGATATCTAATAATCAGAAAAAACCTAGATGTCTAGCTGTCTCATTGTATCATAAACAACTCATTAACATTAATTTACAGTTCTTTCAACCGAAAACTTTTAATCTGACTTACTGCAGAACAAGGTATCATTCAAATTCCAATACTGGTATTGCAATATAAAGCCATTAATCTTATCTAATCATGATGCTACTTTTGAATATAAATTAGTTATTGGCATTAATTACCCTATCAAATGGCTAACTAATGCTCATTGTTTTTGTACAAATAAGTATTATTTACACACATTGAATACGTTATGAAAAGAAGCTTATCGAAATGTGTTTGAACTTAGCTTCTAAAACGTAGGTAAAGATACTAAAAAATGAATGAACGACTATGAGACCGACTGCTTTAGTAAGTCTTAATTAATTGCACCACAGTTGTAAAGAAAATCTGAAGTAAAGTGTCGAAGCACTGACGCCACTTATACATGCTCCCACATATCGTTAAACAAATGCACTGCTCTATCTTGGAAGGTGTTCTGTTTCTTTTCGATTGACCGTTAACAAAATATCAACTACAATTTAGTAAGAACCTAATACCAACGTCATAAAAATTGCTGTACCCAACTTTATAAATTGAAGTACACAATTGAAACTACTGATAGTTTGTTTCATTGTAAGTGTTTTGGAGCATTGTCAAACAATGAATAGACAATGAGTAAGCTAACTAATTTCATAAACTGCAAATAATTACACGTGATAAATGTCCATTTTGTTGAGAGAAAAAAAGCTAAAATCAGTAAACAGTTAACTTAATATGTTTAGAGATGAATCTTTTTCCGGAATGGTGTTTTCGTAGATGATAAACTTAGGTTAGAATACCTTCAGTGACGATTTACATTTCACATTCTTGAGAATAATTGTATCTTAAACCACATAACCAGATATACTAAGCTTAAGCTTAACCGTCAATTGAAGCGTTGCCTTACAGTAAAAATATATTCTTTTTTCTGAAAATACTTGATAAACTACCAGATCTCATTCAGTATACTGAACTGCTTAGCCCTAATATCTGCAGATATTTTACACTCACTCTATTCTTGGTTAATTTAATTAATTTAAATAATATCTGTTTTAATTAACTGGTTGTAAAATAGCTTGCCACTTGCATAATGGCAAACCTATCATATTAATTTTTATTGATTTTGTTCTCACTTTTCAGTTTACTACAACTACTCTGTATCGGCACAGAAACTGTCGCACGATGCACTATTCATACAGGGTATCTCAATCACCTTTCTAAGCGTAATTGAATCCTAACTGTTGCTTCATATCATTATAATCTATGGGACACATGTCTACTGAAAACAACTCATAGACCATATCTTCTTAAACAATTCTACCTGATAATTTTGTCTTTTACCCGTAACATTGCTATCAGTGTCTAACTGATGATCCCTAAATATTTGGTATAGCGCATGAAAAACGAAGTTCAAGCTAAACAAATTGGAAGATAATTCATTCGTATTGGTTGTTTAAATCTTCCTACTGATGTTTAGGGCAGCAATTGATCAATTTCTTTCTGCATATGTGAAGAGAACGGTACTGGATTTGAGTCTTGAAGTGAACATCGTTTCCGGGGTGCAAGTAAATCCATCTGACGGGTCCCAAATGAGAGAAAATGCGTGTCCTGGATTCCACAGATAAACACCATCCATTTCTACTTCTAATACTGGAATTTAGCTAAAATAAAGTTAATAACGAACTGGCATATATCTAGTTTAAGTGCAAAATATTGATGGTCATATATTGGGATAGGACTCAGAGTTCTATGTGACTAAGGTATAGATAACTTTATCTTCTCATTGCATTATTTAAAATTATCAAAGGTACTAACTACGACAACTCTGTGGCCCAGATAAAGAAGGGTTGGGCGAGAGCTTAGCGACCTCATCCCGTAGAAAAATTACTCGCTAAAAAACTCTAACCAGAAAGAATAATTCAAACCACTGACTACTGTTAAGCTGGTTGCATTGGCCCAAAAGGTTTGGATTATATCTTTGAGTAACTAACATTCCAAAGTGATGATTGTTGTATGGTTGTAAAGTTTATCCAAAAAGGCTACAACGCGAAAAAAGACGAAGCTGCATATCACAATCATTTTTTCAAATGAGGAAATGCAATACACCGAAAATACTACACAGATGTTGACCAATTTTATATGGTTAATAATTTGGCTACATACCCTAATTTGACATCTCACTTGAATTGACTTATTGTCAAACTTTGTTGTAGTATACAACATTTAGCCAAGCCCTCTTGATGGATTTATCAATTCAACAAGCCTTTAAATTGGCCACAGTATGACGAATACCTTAGATGTAGTCTGAATAACATATGTCAGAACCTGTGGTCCAAATCTTAGGTTTAGATATCTAAATTAAGTCAATTGTTGCAAAATAGTAGAACTTGCTTGCACTAAGATTTGGACATTTTCAACCCCAAAACATTCGAGCATTTTAGTAAAAAGTAATTTAACCAAACATACCTGATTTTCAGACAACTCTAACTTTCAGGATCTCAGTTTTGTATCTGGGTCAATAACAAGTTCAAGGATGTGTAATTCACTCCTAAACTTATGTATATTATGAATTAATGGATGCTAAACAATTTTACTAAACACACAGCTAACTATTGAAATAATATAATCGGACAATTCACTCCTGTTATCTAGGCTTATACGAATATGAAACATGTTTTCTTTCTTCGCTACTTATGTAAGCAGCATAAATTCGGTAATTTTTTAAAACTTATGATGTCATTGTTAAGAACAAGGTAATGTTATGCGTAGATTTCGAGCACATAAATTATGGGGAGAGAGAAAATAAGCATAATTTTTATCAAAATATATTAGGTTCACTCTGCTTCAAATCAATATTTCAAGAAAACCACTTACTAAGAGTTGGTTCTTTCTTTTCCTTTATGTCAGTCAGTCAGTCAGATGCAACGTAGAACTTTGTACATAAGTACATCAGTTCATGTTGCCATACCACATCAGCACAGAGAAGTAATCGTCAATTCAAATCCAATAGTAGAAGAGGTAGTAAGGGAATTAGAAGTAATCGGAGAGGTTAGGATTAAAAGATACTATTCAAGGAGTATGATTCAGTGAGAAAAGTTTAGAGAGTCGAAACTAGAGGGGTTGAAGAATCCAGAAGATTAGCATTTGAGAGAACACAGAGAATAAATACACCGGCGCCATTGCGAACGATTTTGAGCCATGTCATTCAAGGTCTCTAACCATCGATTATTATCATCTCGCGGATCCCAACCAGGTAGTCGACAATTACCGACATGGCTCAGTCCACTAGTCAATGACTTCATGGATTTCTGCCATGTTTTGGTTTGGCCGCCCCTAGCTTTCTTCCAACCCATTCTTTTCCTTTATGACAAACAAACTATTTGCTAATACTC